GCATCCGTAAACTGAGCATTAAAGCACTATCTGACAAATAAGTGAAAAACCCGCGCTTGAACCAACACATTACAACATAAATATTTCAGACCCAGAGGTGGGCAAACGAAGATCTGTGATCGCGTTAATTCAAGAACGGAACGACAAAGCGAGTTGTGACACAGACGGTTGATTATGAATCGCTTCAAAATTTAAAATAACGAAAACTTATTTTTGTGGTTCGATCGCCATGAGTATAATGGCCCATTGGCTTATGTAGTGAGACATAATATACAGTAGCCGAATGTATACTTGAGTTATCACATATCCTTCTGTATTTAGTAACACTTTAATTACCGTACTTTTTATCAGTGCTGATTTTTTTGTGGACGGTTTGCTTCGTAAATGCCAGAACCGGTAAACGCATTGCAGTTTGGCTGTACGAAATTGTTATTTAGCACAATAAATCTTGAAAATTAATAGTACATAATAAAATACATCCAAAACATTTATTTCCAAAACATATACTATAAAAGCACAATTGTGAGTTAGCATGGAAAGAACATTAACATATACATATTTCGAACACAAAAATTGAAGAACATATAGATTTCCAATCCTTTCGAAGGATTCACTTCTCATTTGAGAATTAGTCATGTGCTGTTTTTCTGAGTACATGAAAGCAGTAAGTGAGATAAACAAAATATGCTGTTGAAAAATGCCTGCTGTGGCGTTCGAGTTTCGAGAAAAGAATTCATTTGAATTCTCTCAAAAGGCATTCAAAAATTCACACAGCTTAACCCACCTTATATTGACCAACTTTATTTAAAGACTCTACTACATCTTCTACAATAGCATAAAAGACCTCTAGTTTTTGATTTCCTCCGGGTTTGAAAAAATGCTAGTTATAACTAAAACGTGTTATAAGAGATATAAGACCGATAATACAGACAATATAATCTTTTGTTGCGAAATGTATTTATTTTCTTTTGGTATAATATTATTGTTTTTATACAAGTGCTGAGAGTTATTATTTACATGTTAAAACTTGATGCCAACAAACGCGGGTAACAAAGACTTCTGCATTGAGGCTGTTATTAGTGAAGAATCAGCGATCACTAAAGAGTTGCATCATAAAACGCTATTTTTTGGACGACAGGGAGATGTTTATAATTTTGGTGCACAACACATTTTCATGATTAACATCAATAAATGCGCATAAAACAGACCTTCACTATTATGGCTGCCATAAGACATCTCAAAGCACAGAACATATTGAAAAAACAAACAAAAGCGTGCGCAAAGGGAGGCTAGGGAGGCTAGGGAGATTAGGGGGAGGGGGAGAGCGTGAACCTCCTCACAAAATTCTGAAAGTGGCCCCGTAGCTATTCATTATAAAACATGTTATTTCCGGAAATATTATAATATTATAATATTACATATGCTATATTTCTTAATATAAAAATATATTCATGATAAAAAATAAAGAAGAGCACATCTAGAGACATTTTTAACAAAAGAGTCGAGACAAATCCTTGGGCATAGTCTATCGGAATATTGTTACCTTATGTTTGAGTAAGTATTATTGACTTGATATATAAAGTTTGAAAATTTACGCGTTTTATTTGGTTTTAGAAGTCATCACATGTAGCGATGTAGCCATAACTCGTTGACTCGCTATATTTAAAAATAAATAATTTTTCTCTACTTATAAATTTTTGATTTTTGAACAAAATAGTGTGTAAATCCCCAGAATTGCAAAATAATCACACATTTTGATGGCAAAAACGGGAAGAAACTTTCGAATTTACCCTTGAAATGTGGCCAATTAGGACTCGACCCCTCACGAAAAACCGTAACAATTATTCAAAAATCCAAAAGAGGTAAAAATGCTGAAAAGCATACAAAACTATATTGAAAAAATAAGTTAGAGACAGTACTTTCTACAACAGCTCAAAATACAAATTTAAAAATATACTTTTTATACAAATAAATTGGTATAGTATATAATAAATAAAAAATTGAATGAATAAGGAGGTCCAGAAAAGTTGTTGCCCCCCCCTCCTGTTATAGGCTGCGCACCCCTCTGCATACCGTTCCTAGAAAAGCGTATTTGAACACTAGGTTTAAGTAAAAGGAGAGATGAAAGTATTTATGTTCAATAAAGCTTCGAACTGTAAGAACTCTGGGAATCGTAAATAAAAGATGAAAAATAAACGACGAGAACAATGTCCATTACAAATTGCAAAAGACGTTGGATGGTGCAGGCGACGTAAACAGTACACTGTAAACTCGAAAGGTGTCGAGTATGAGCAAGCGGGAACTTCATTATGGTATCGGTCGGAACAATGTTTCCTGCCGAGTGCGTATCAGAGATAGAATTTTAAAGTCATTCACAAGTGCAATTATTTCACGATCTACACTCATCCCTTCCTCTGTCTCAGACGACACATGTTCATTGGGTCATATGAATAAAAATGAGCACTTGCTCAGGCGTACTTGCTCCGGGGCTAAGTGAGTCTACTCCGCGGCACTGAGCAGAAGCTCCATTTCGTATGAATAAAAACTTCGTATGTCTCTGAAGAACTTACTCATGTCTCGCGAGCATTTGCTTGTCATGAACAAGTGATAATGCAGGCTAAGAGTTTTAAAAATTGGTTTCTTGAGCAACAAAGATGTTACATACGTTAAGCGCTTCTCGCGCATTTGTGCGGAATAAAGAGCAATTTTTTGTCTCGTTCTTTAAATTCGAATATGAGTAACAGTAATGCCACAACGCCAGCTAGTTTTTGCCGAACGCTAAGCAAATATAAAATTAGTTTTAAAAAGAGACAACTTTCGGCGGTACGCTGTCGCCGAAGCAAAACATTACAAAGTTTGAAAAAACAGTGCCCCGAAAAATTTCAAGTAGAAAAGAGCGATGGCCAATTAACATAGAAGATATGCAATATGAAAACGTGCCTCAAAGTAAACGCCGATAAAAATCATACCAACCATACAATGTCCTTTTCGAATCAGCAAAGATTCTAATAGTCTACATCATGAGAATTTCGCCTATCTTGTATTTTTTAGTCCGCTGCATCTGCATATCAACCCAAGGTAAAAATATCGGCCAATTTAACCTGGATTTTCAAACGTGAGTCTGCTACTAAGGTTCCTCCGAAATTTTCGAGCAAGTGCTCTATCTAGAGAGTGAACGCTTAACTTTATTCATACCAATTCTGAGCATTTGCTCGCCAGTTGAGAGGACGCTCAGAGATGGACTTTATTCATACGAAACTGAGAAGGATCTCCGAAACTCGGAGCAAAGAGTAATTGCTTACTTTTATTTACACCATCCATTGTGACGTAAGCAAAAATCACGGCACTTCGCCTGCACCGATCGTCTATTTAATTCGTGCCTTCAGAATGAAATGTCACAGCGGCTACCTTGGGACACTAACACAACAGAGTAATGTTCCCTATTATAAAAATCACAACCAATTTCCTGAAACTTTCATGATTATTTAGCGGCATCATGTCTCGCTCTAGTACCGACTGGCTTTCAGAGAAGTCCTTTTTGGAACATTTAGTGCAGAATATACTTCCAGAGATCCTTCGGTGGAATCCAATCACCCCGACCACCAGTGCCCGCTTTTCTCGGTGGTGGTGGTGGTGGTGGTGGTGGTGGTGGAGGTGGTGGTGGAGGTGGTGTGCAGCGGGCGCGATCTGCGGGTGGGGCGCGCCGTGGTCGTGGTGGACGTCGCCGGGCGCCGGGTGGGCGCGCGGGTTGGAGCCGACGACGGCGGTCGCGTGGCGGTCGTGGCCTCGGTGGTGGTGGAATCGTGTTGGTCGCCGGGCGCCACGTCCAGCGCGCTGGGCGTGCCCACGGAGAGCGCGAACGCCGGCGCGGGGCACGCGTGGGTGGAGAGCGTGAGCAGCGCCACGCTGGAGCTGGCCACCAGCGCGGCGCCGTCCGCGTCCGCGGCCTCGCCGGCGCACCGCCTGAGCCCACATCATTGACAAGTTAGTGATTCCGGGCGCGTCAACTGACAAATTTATTAGACCTGTAAGTGCAATACGTTGCTTTTTATGGTGGAAGAGTGCGGTGATCTTCCCCCTTGCTGGATGTCGCCGACCTACGTCGACATGAGGGGATTTTCCCTTTGTAGAACATGTGGGTGTATATTACTGTGTCATCTGGGTAGTGACACGGTGTCATCTACGGTAGACGATTACGGAGCTAAAATTTGTTAATGTGCTCAAAGGGTGTAAAAATACAAGGCTACGACAAGGAATACCTTTCTCCAAAGAAACAGACGCAAGTTTACTTCACTGTGCACAATTAACATTTTCTTTCAGGAGCAGGGATAGATCTCTTAGCCATGCATTCTGAGCAGTTGTTCTGGGCGCCGAACGAATTTTAACACGGACTAATGACCGAGGTTCAGTGGAAAATTTGAATCACGCTTTTTTTTGACACATTAATACGGAACGCTATAAAACAAATTGCTTCGAAAATGCTGCAAAAAAAGTAATTGCGCTTATCTAGTGATATCAAAAATTCGAAAACAGAGAGGGAAAACGGAAAAAAATGATGTCCGGCTCTCCCCGTCTCCGGCTCTCCCCGTCTCCGGCTCTCCCCGTCTCCGGCTCTCCCCGTCTCCGGCTCTCCCTGTCTCTGGCTCTCCCTGTCTCTGTCCCGGCATTTGGAGGAAATATCCACAATTCAATGGGTTTTCTCCCATAAGGGAGAAATTTCTTAGTGTTTCAACATAATTTCATGCAAGTATAATTCTGATGTATGTCATCATGAAAGCACTAAAACCATTTTGGATATAACTTACATGTTCATAAATGTGGTTTTCTTTCTTTTTAACTTATCTAAAGCAATAATAGCGCGCACTCTAAACAAATGCTCAGCGAGTGGAACGTGCTAAGTCCATCCCGGCTCCTGAAAGTGGGTAGAGAACATCGCTTCTCGGCGCGACACGATGTTGAGGACTGCGTTGTAACTAAAGAATTGCTGTATAGCGACTCACCTAACGCTTAAAACCGGTTCACCTGATGGCAAAACGTCGTACATATTCAGCTCACCACATTCACAGTCCCGTTCGGTCATATTATCTGAAATTAACACAAACACGTCATCCCTCAAGTTTACCCTCCAAGTGGATACAAGATAAAGATACACTCTGTCTTCGCCTGGACCCCAAAAGATGTTTCGTCAGTGAATGAGTAATTGCAATTCAGAAAAGCAAATAGAGTTTGCTGCTAGGACAGTACGTTTTGCGCAAAAATAAAGAGTTAGGAGGCACAATTTATTCAAAATTTGAAGTTTAAAATTTTCACATTGCGCTATAAGTTAGATAAACCTTAAAATTTAGTGCTAAAATGTGGGATACGTCACGATACTCGCTTAATAAATTGAAAGACGTCACTTACCTATATCTTCGAACACAAGTCGTGACAGAAATAGAGATTGATTTTGATACGACTGAACGTATCAGATGACAATGTTTAGGGTGAATTACTCCGTGTTCAACACGTCAAGTAATTGGTTTGAATCGTTATTACGCAAGTAAAAAAATACACAGAAACAGAATTTCTCCACTAACCAAATGATTGAAAATATAATATTGAAACGATTACAGCAAACAGATTAAAGTAAGCTGAATTCATTGCTACCATCTACCTCTTACAACTACCGCCTCAATTAATCTAATGAGGACAACAACGTATTTTCCGAACGAGAGTTTTATAACAAAATGTAAATCTTGTTATCTCACACTAATGCAAATGTAATAAGTAATCAAAAGTATAATATACTATTCACAAAACTAACTGAACTTTGTGCAATATCAAAACCTTGCAGATATTTACTTAGGAGTGCAATTATAGTATGTACACGTACAGATATGCAACACGATCCGGTGTGATTATTACCTTTTCAATAACTTTTAATTTGCTTTGATTCAAATAATTCTGAATATTCTCTAGGTTTCAAATTTTTTCAAGTCTTTAGAAGTACGCACATTGAACATCATTTATTTCCCAAATCTTAACTTTTTATTTAACCCTGAATATTTAACTAACGTTGTTCTTTAGAAGTTCTGTTTACAAGCACCCACTAGAATAATTTGAAGGTAGCATAATGAATTATAAAACTTTATCATGTACACGACACAATGATCAAAATCAATTAAACTTGATGAATATCGCAACTTCAAAATTCACAACTCCACATAAACGTATGAATATATCCTGGCGGTAAATATGAAAAAAATCAGTCGGTGATGGCTGTTTTCTTGTGAGGAGTGGCAAATTTTAGTATATCAAAATTAGTAATTAAGCACTGAATATTAACTAAACATGCAATTTTAGAAAGATGAGAGGTTACTATTTGGCACATTTCTTGAGTTGGAGAAGCAAGTAAGTGATTATGGAATTTATGTAACCGTTGCTATTGAAGTAAAAAAAAATGGTGTAAATGTTATTTAGATGAAAAAAATAACCGAATCGAATACTGTCGGGCGCCATCTTTCAGTACGACGATTCATAGGTCCGCTAATAAAAATTATTATAATACTACATATAAACTAAAGAAACACAATTATATATATAAATCTTAAACTATGTTCGTAAAAGTATCTATCGTAAACATTTTGCCATCTCGTACTCGCTTTGGCGTTTATCGCGCCATCTTTGGGATGACAGTTGTGTATTATGATTCGATTGCATTAGTAACACACCTGCTACATAATTGATAGTGTAAAAAAGTGATATGGTGGTGAAAATTCTAATAACATCATACATGGGCAATTTATCAGATATTGTTCAAAGAATTGCCATTTCAGTAGCTTCGCAGTTAGAATAACGGGACGTAAACCAGAACACACGGGTTCGAATGTCGCTCGGGATTAGTTAATGCCTTATTTTACGAGGCGAGTCTAGGGCCATCTGGTCCACTCTTCTTTCTAACCACGCAACTTTCGCGACGCTCCTTTCACCATCTAGCGGAGAAATATGATATTGTTTGGGTGACTAAACACGCGATTTCGAATTGAGCTCATAGGCATCTAAAAGGCTTGAAGCTCCTTTACCGGCAGTAAATCTACAACATGTGACAGCTGGCTTTACTTCCTTTCCGAAGGAAGGCGTATGAAGGATTTTTTCACCCTTAAAAATCCACGCCTTCTATCGGGTTTGATCCCACAAACTGAGGTACGTTACACTAACCGTTACTCTAAGCCGCCAATTCTTTGAACAAATTTAATTATTTACTATTATTATTATTGTTGTTATTATTATTATTATTATTATTATTATTACGTGGATGACGATACCCACCAAAGCGGAGGAAGTGGAGCACGACGGCCAGCGGCGCGCCGAGCTGCGTCTGGAAGGTGAAGACGCAGAGGAGGTCCTGAGCGGAGCCCGCGCGCTGGAAGTGGAAGCGACGCACTTGGCCCGGGGCCACCTCGTTCGCCACGGAGCACGGCACCTGCGCCGCCGCGCCCGCACACGCCCACGCCCACAACAGCGCCGCCAGCGCGCCCTTCGACCAAACAAGCGTTCAATCTTGAGATTTTTAGTAAAGATCAGTCGGGGAAGAGGGGCTGGAGGGATGCGAATTACGACGGGGCGGCATGTGCGTTCGGTTGAATGCTCTACTCATTTACGTCATTCAGGTTTCTTAACGTTCAACATATTTGCAGACATTATGTTGACTTCGTGTTTCTGAGCGCAACTGCGAGGGTAATGATTGAGTGCAGTTCATGTTACATATTTAGGAGGGGTCGGTGTCCCCCCCCTCCGCCCCCCTCTGGAACGTGAGATCCGGAGCGACCAACGGGTCAACTTGCAGGGTTCCCCACTCCACGTATTTCTTTTACAAATATTTATTTAATTAAGATCAACGACTATCTTTAAAATAATTGTGTAGTTACTCAGCAATTTTGAATGAATATAATGTCGGCTATATCAAAAACACAATTTATTCAAACGCGATTGCAAATTTTTCAATGAAAATTTACATGTAGGACTATGTGTTACTGTTTTATAATACACCTAAAGTCTTATTTTCATTCTACTATAATGTAGAGTGTAGTAGGTAAAGTCTGTTTGTGGCACCACTAGAAATCTGTGCCAAGTACAGATACTACGCCGAATAATCAGTTTTACTTGTTGAATTTGTTTCTATCGAAATATTTTTCCCAACAATCTAGCATATTTTATTACATTATGAAAGATAAATTCTTATTCCGTTAGAACCCATACATTCTTCCTTCCATTCTGTTGCGTCGACTTGCAGGGAATTATCAAAGCAGCCAAATACAAAAATATATTTCTGAAACATTTTGTAATTATGAAGTTTCCATTTAAAGAGCATGTAGTGTTTGATATATTTCCGCAAAAACAGTAAAAACTTTGTGTCTTAGAGGGAGAAGAATATATCTGAACAGGTGTTCTTGAGCACCAGACTCCTTTCCTCACCCTTTTTCTAACCATGATTGAACGATGAATAAAGGTACCAATAAACTGAGGTTAACATCACTTGAAAACGAGAAATGTACGCTCTCGAAACGTAGAAAACATATGCATCGATAAATGATGTCGAGATTTTATTTCACAGTATTGCTATCAAAATAACAACACGCGACACCAACTCCACTTCTACCACAACTTGCAAAAGAAGAGCTCAACGAATCCTGCGGATAGTGAAATTGCATTTATGTTCAGAAATAAATCAATGGACCATTTGAGATTGAGGTACAATACTTGCTACGTGGCATATTCAGTCTTTTACAACTACACATATATCTGAAGCATTATACATCGTTCTTAAAATTATTATTTTCCGTTTTGATGGCCAATACAATCTCTAATTATATAGTAATAGTTATGAAACAGAAAATGTTTAACCTAAAACTTGTGCATGGATTTTAATTGCTTAATGTTATCTGGAAATGTGTCGTAAAGTAAATTACATGTGTGGATTTCTTGAAGTTAGCTGTCGATACTGACACCTGATGAATATATGTTGTAAAGAGTATTGGAGTAACCTGCGTGAATGCGAGATGAGGTTCCTTTACCGGTAGTAAATCCACAGCATGAGACAGCCGGCTTTACTTCCTCTCCGAAGGAAGGCGTACGCAGGAGGCGTACGAAGTGTGCGTGCGTGCGTCCGCGCGCCACTCATGGTCAGGCCCTTTCCGCTCATCAATCGAAGTACATTTCCAGGTGTCATTCGACGCGTCTCAGTCTCTCGCCAGGGAACAGTGGTGGCCGGTGGGTTGCCAATTACGAGGGGCGGGATATAAGCCTGAATTACCGCATACGTTTTACCACTTCTAAGTATTTATTGAAAGAGGAAAACTACAGCATGTAGTGTACAACCTATTTGCACGCAACGGGATTTTTAATCCTTGTCTAAGACAACAAGTTGATAACAGACGATTTAATTGTGCTCTCGCGAAAATAAGTGATATTTAAAACATGTTTGCAGCAAACAAGATACTAATTTATGAAATCAGATTAAAGGGTCAATATTTTTAAACAAGTTAATAGGCGCGGACTCTGACGAACAAAATCCTAATAGCAGCACGTTGCGCCTATCCAATTCCCAGTACCCCCACTCTTCTTCAAGCTTCCATTGCCTCGCATTCACCAGCTATGGACGGACTCGCGACAGTCCATGATACGACCCATTCCAAAAACATAATTTTATCGTTTGCTTAACAGGACAACTAAAACTAAATTAGTGTTAAAAATATTGCGCTGGTAGTATACACAAATTAAACGCGTCGATTATTATGGAAAAATGGCGAATTATTCGCGGATCACTTCAGAAGAATCTTGGAAATTTCTCGAAAAATGTGCGTTTTATTGAACTAAAACGTATTTTGAGCAACTTCTGAGCTCAAAACAGAGGTTCTCAATGGCCCATTTCATTCCTCTTAATGAAGCAAATGGTCTGGCATTGTTTTTAGACAAATCATTTTAGTACATTCTAAGAAGAAACTAGAAGAATAGATTGATTATTTTGTGTTTTAAGGCACCTACAGTAGTAAAGCGAAGTACTGTAGTAACTGCTCTTCTAGTACAACGTGAATGCTTATGTCACGATTCACACGTTTGACCATATTTAAAGTGATTAAGTAAAGATACTGCTGAGGTTGCGAAATATAGCTTGAATTTTTTCGGAAGACCTTTTGGAGGTATCAGGAACTTCAGCAGAAACTACTACACATCTTTCTAATCCTTTGACAAAGGGAAGTTTCTAAAATCGACAGATAATGAAGACTGTTAGCACCTTAGCGTGAGAATCATTGAATTTGTAAAGAAATAGTCAGGCTTACCTTTGTCTGGGCGAAAGGAAAGCGTTTTCCTTACAGCTTGTAATTCTCGTTTAATAAACTTCGCACGAGGATCGCGCGCAAACATGTAATACCAATTAGGAAATGTAATACAATCTTTACGTAATAATACAACCTCCGGTGCAGTGCATATTACTTAGGTTCCACACTGGCGAGGATATCCGTAGTGAAATCGTTCGACTGCTCTGATTTATCAACAATATGATTCTGCGCGTTTTATATGGACAACGCTAAATTCTAAGACTCTTGAGACAAAGCCCAATGCATCCCCAATGCAATTAACCCAAGCTTTGGAAAAAAATAGTGTCCCAAGTTATTTTTTTGCTATTTTCTCTCGATATCCAATTGACGTCCATATTTAAATGTCACCGCGACATGTGCATCTTGGATAATGTTTGAAAAAGTTTAATAAAATATTTACAAATTTACAAACTGTGTTCTTGGCAAACGTTTTCAGTCTTATTGCACAGAGAATTTGAATGCTCCTCACCTTACAAACAACCATGTCAGCCCGTCCGGCACGATGCGATCCAAGGAGTTCCTGGCACTTCTGTCTGAACCTAGCGCCGTGGACGTAAGACCGCCTTGCATGCACTACCTGCGTGGCAATATTTCTGACGGCCACTGGCGGAAATGTAGGGCGACAGAGTAAAGGGGGAAAACACAAAATCGCGGAACAAAGCACTCGCGCATATTCATAAGCGATTTACGGTGTCAAGGCCTGAGCGTCCTCGTAGACTACAGGTTTTTTAGTGGATTATCACTGATAAAGGAAGGTCGCAACATCTAAAAGCATGCTTGTCTCCAAGCCAATTAGTGACTGTTCCAGTAAGTCAAGTTCATTGCCATGCAATTTACCATAACGAACTAAAGTTAACAACCACATAGTATGTTCGCAAGTAACACAGCTAGCTCATGGATAGAGTGGCACATTGTTTAGATTTAGATATATTCAGTCAACAAAACAGTAAAAACTGTAAGTGACGTAGGGGGAAAACGATTATCTGCGCACGTTTTCTTGAGTTCCAGAATGCCTTCCCGTCATTTTAACTATAAATAGTTTAAAAATGAGTAAAAGTTTAACATAAATAAATAAAAATAAATTTTAAACATTGCAAATTAGCAATATTTGAAAAATAGTCATTTTCGTTTCGAAAGCTTATTTGCATGGGTAAACGAATTGCTAATATGATTTTTCTGCATTGCTAACAAAATAGCAACTCGCCCTTTACCTCTACTCTTACCAATACAAGCAAAAGGAGAGTTCAACAAAATGTGCGCATAGTGAAGCTACATTTACGTCCAGAGGCAAAACAAGGGGTCAACTCAGCATTTGCTCAATGGATCAGGGAAACTGGACAAAAACCTGATCGAGATGGGGGTCATTGACCCTGAAGCTGAAGTACATTATTTGTTACAAACATATTGAGTCTTTTACAAAAATTATACAATACAAATGTAAAGTAACAAATTCTAACTTAAATTTGTGGACCGACATTAATTGTTTAATGTCATCTGGCAGTGCGTTGTAAAGTAACGTACATGCATCGTATGTAGATTTGTGATAGTGAGCTGTTGATACTGACACTTGACGAATGTGATTTTTCAACGTGTTTGTAATTACAAATATCAGTATTGTATGAAAAAATGTTCCCACAGATAAGTCATTTTTGACAAATATTACGGATTCCTAAATATATACGCAAGGCAGTGGTAAGATTCCAAGTTCAATGAAGAGAGGCTTGCAAGGGTAACGCGGATGGCAGTTTTCCATAATTCAAATAATTTTCTTTTGCATTATAAAGGTCTGAGTACTAGATGATGAGTTTTCCCATGATTTTATACCATATCTCAGGCGGGAATGTACATTTACAAAATACATGCAACGAACTGAATGAAGGCTGGCAGAATTTGATAGAGGAAATTGTTTAGAGGCAGACAGGAGGACAATTATCCTTCCCTAAATCTTCAAATTTTTAACCTCTGTTTCATAAAATTTACCATAATGTTCACTTCATTCATTTAATGAAATTAATTATTCTAAATTCCAAGGCATCAACGTGAATATAGTGAACTTACTTAATGATCTAATCTAGTGCTATGTTGTGGTTTCAAATGTTCAGAAACTATTT